TTAAACCCAATGACATGCTTGCCTAGCACGTCCGACAGCCCCTTCCTCTTTGCCCAGATGTAGGATCATCCTTTGCCAGCATCACCCCCCCCCCCCCCAATCCTGGTACCCTAGTGAGGCCCCTGTAAGTGTGAGGCCTTAGGCAACCGATTAGATCACCTAATTAAAGAGCCGCATCTGGCCAAGAATGTAATACTCGCTGGAGGTGTTCCAATATGTGCTTAGGGTACTAGCCTGCCCTGGTGGATGAGTGTCATGTCAAAGAGAGCCTTCAGTACAGTGGAGAGTGACTGAGAAAATGACTTTTAAAAACATAGAGTGAGGGTGTGTAGTGTTTTGGGTGTATTTTACTTTTTTGCAGGATGCAGTGAAGTGCTGCAAAAAAAGTTATAATCTAAAAAAATGGGCAGCAGCAGGACATTTATAATGTGGAAAAATTGTCTGAAATGTAGTAAAGACAAATATGGCTCCCAGTGTTCAGTTCTCTCTTCTGTGACTTAGACAGGCACAGCACATAGGATAGAGAAGGGAGAGCTCTAATCTCACAGCCATCTCAGAGCAGAGGGAGGAGGAGGGTGTTAACCTTTTGCAGGCTCTGCTTGTGTAGTGTGATCACTACACTGCCAGAGAGAGGGATGTGAGCTGTCAACAGACATCTACATCCAAACAAGAAAATTAGTTCCCTGGAAAGAGTAGAGACAGGTATTTTAATGCAAGAATAAAGAGATTGTAGATGACATAGCAGGACAGTTCTAAGTAGCAAAGCTGGGCCCAATTTACTAGACACAAAGACCATAGGTTGAGACTTTACTAGAAGAATTAAGATACTTCAGCAGCTAAAGCAGTGTAAAAGTGGCTATCAGCAGGACAATTTTTAATAAAGGATAATAGGTCTATCTACTATATACCTAAATTTTATTTTTTCTATGGGGATAGGGAGGTGTGGAAAATGTGAGTAATATAATGTAGGATGGTTTAGGTTCACAGTGTTCTGCAATTTTTTTTTTTTTTTCTTTCAAATGATGAGAAAAAAGATATTAGTTGTTTTGGACAGATATTGCTCCTTAAAAGGTGTATGTGGATCTGTACACACAGGCAGGGCACATAAGAAAATGTACTCCAGCACTGCAATTCAAAGAATTTAAGCTTTGTTAAAGTAGGTGTAACCCCAGCTGCTTAAATTTCATATAAGCTGGTGATACTGATTTAATGGTCCTTGTATGGGCAGTTTGTGCTTTGGGGTGACACTGCTCTGCCTTTGACTTCTACAATCTCTTCACTGCACATCACCCTGTCATATGATGTCACAAAGGAATACATAACCTTCTCTGCTGATGTACTGTGCCCAGGAATATTATATAGGCCTTAACGTCAGCAACAATGAGGAAATATGCCCTGTGAAAAAACATATGCAGTCATTTATCAGTGTAATGCAGATAGACAGAGCCAAGGTATACAAAAATCAACTACAAGTAGCAACAATTAGGGAATATGCCTTGTTAAAAAACACATGCAGCCTGCTATGACTGTAGGGCATGTGGACTGTAGAATCTCTCTTTCTTCTGGGACCAAGTAATTGTCATGTCATTCAGTGTGATTACGTGACCGCAGCGTGGTGTATTCTGGTTTTGTGCTGCCCTAGGCAAGACTAAAATTGGCCACCCCCCCACATCTAAATTTGTCCCACCCCTTTCTGTTTAAGATCCACCCCTTCATCTGTAAACTCCATCCCTTCCACTTTAGGCTTCACCTCTTCCTATTAGAGGCCAGACTCATCCACCTTACCAACCGCTCCGCTTCTGCCACCCCCCTCTGTCATTTCCTCTACTGGCTCCCGATTGCCCAACGCATTAAATTCAAACTACTAAGACAGACATACAAAGCCATTCATAATACTGCCCCAACTGCCTCACCGACCTGATACCCAAATACAACCCTACCCGTAATCTTCACTCCTCACAAGACCTCCTACTTTCTAGCTCCCTGGTCTCCACCCCCCACGCCCGACTGCAGGACTTCTCCAGGACTTCCCCCATCCTCTGGAACTCACTACCCCAATCCATCAGACTGTCACCTACCCTCCTCATTTTTAGGCGCACCCTGAAAACCCATCTCTTCAGGGAAGCCTACCCCGCCCTCACCTAACAGCCGATCTTCTCCACTCCTCCTACCACTCCATCCCCCACAGACACTTCCTCCTGTACCACTATCCCTTCCCTCCTAGATTGTAAGCTCGAAAGAGCAGAGCCCTTGAACCCCTCGTGTTTTGTTTTGTTACTGTATTGTCTCAAGTTCTGTCCCCCACTATAATGTAGAGCGCTGAGCAAACGTTTTAGCTCTATATAAATACTGTATAATAATAATTAGAGCTCCGTCATTCCACAGCACTGTGGTAGTTTATTGAAAACTACAAGCCGACAGCTGCTAAGGTAGTTCATTCATTCACGAATGTCTGTGAATTCCTCCCACTGACACCAATGATGGGGCACTATTCCTCCCACTGATAACAACGATGGGGCACTATTCCTTCTACTGACACCAAAAATGGGGCACTATTCCTTCCACTGACACCAATGATGGGACACTATTCCTCCCACTGACAACAATGATGGGGCACAATTGCTCCCTCTGACAACAACGATGGGACACTATTCCTCCCACTGACACCAATGGTGGGACACTATTCCTCCCACACTAACACCAATGATGGGGCACTATTTCTCCCATTGACACCAATGATGGGGCACTATTCCTCCCACACTGACACCAATGATGGGGCACTATTCCTCCCACTGATACCAACAATGGTGCCCCATCATTAGTGTCAGTGTGGGAGGAATAATGCCCCATCATTGGTGTCAGTGTGGGAGGAAGTATAGTACCCCATCATTGGTGTCAGTGTGGGAGGAATAGTACCCCATCATTGGTGTCAGTGTAGGAGGAATAGTGCCCCATCATTGGTGTCAGTGTGGGAGGAATAGTGCCCAATCATTGGTGTCAGTGGGAGGAATAGTGCCCCATCATTGGTGTCAGTGACACCAATGATGAGGCACTATTCCTCCCACACTGACACTAATGATGGGGCACTATTACTTCCACTGACACCAATGATGCTTACATTGCTAACCCCTGCTCCAGCCCGGGCTTCCTTCCTCTCCCATCCACAGTCAGCATACCTGGCTGCAGCAGCACCATCTGCTCTGCCTAGATCCCGGCCGCACGGCACAGACATTTTACCTTACCAATCAGCTGTCTTCCTTGTTTGGCCACTCTCCTCCTCTTTACCGGCTCCAGCTGCTCCCCCTCACTCCGATCAGCTTCCTCAATCCTCATGCTGCTGCTTGGCTCCTCCTCTCTGCCTGTGTGCTTTCCCTGAGCTACAGATCCGGCGGCCAATCACCGGTGAGGAGGTGGAGCTAGCAGAGGGAGGGACAGGCTGCTATAGGCCGCCCAGTGATCCCGGGAGTGTGGCCAGATGAGAGGGGCGGCATGTCACCCAAAAGGAAAATTCCCACCCACATTGTGCCGGCATCTGATCCATGATCATCCACCTGGGAAATGAAGACAGCAGACACCCTCTCTACCTCTCCTCCAACAGCGCCTTTGTGGGACACAAGTAAGATCCATAACAGCCCCTGTTCTAAGTGTCACTTCCGTGGGAAGGGGGGTAGGGGGGGCGGTGGCGCCGCGCCACCCCCATGAAAAGTGCCACCCTAGGCAAACGCCTTGTTTACCTCGTGGCAAATATGCCCCTGCCACACTGACCAATCACAGCTCGTGATTGTGAGCATTATTCTGATACGAAGAGAGAAAGACATGGTCTACTACATATGAAGTTCTTTGGTTAATAACAGAGAAAGGATTGTCCATTTATAAGCGTGCAGTTGTTATCAATAATTTACTTTATTAATAATAAATAAATTAGATATTTATTGGCAAATAAAAATAATCAGCTTCACCTGAACCTATGTTGATAGGGGGTCTGACATTTTCAAAAACATTTCAGTGGATCCAACAAATGTTCCAATTAGAAAGAGAGGAAGGGGGACTAAAAAGGAAAATACACAATGCAGGATATTCAGAGAGACTAGAGCAGTGGTCTGGAAACTGTGGCCCACAGGCTGGATGCCTTTTGCTTGTCTTTATCCTGTCGTTGGGTCACTGTTCTTCCCCCTGATATAATGTACTATTCTTTCAACTGACATCAGAGCTGAAGTATTTCATCCACTGACATCAGAGATTAAGTATTTTTCCTCCCAATGACATCAATGATGGGATGTTATTCCTTTTACTGACACCAACAATGGGGCATAATTCCTCCCACTGAAACCAATGATGTTGCGCTATTCCTACCTCTGACACCAACAATGGAGTATTATTCCGCCCACTGACAACAACAATAGAGTACTGTTCCTCCCACTGTCACCTCTTCCTATTAGAGCTCCGCCATTCCACAGCACTGTGGTAGTTCATTGAAAACTACAAGCCCACAGCTGCTAAGGTAGTTAATTCATTCTCAAAAGTCTGTGAATTTCTCCCACTAACACCAATGATGGGGCACTATTCCTCACACTAATACCAATGATGGGGCATTGTTCCTCACAATATTTCCAATGATGGGGCACTATTCCTCACACTAATACCAATGATGGGCCATTGTTACTCACAATATCTCCAATGATGGGGATTCCTCCTACTACTGACCACAGGTACTATTTAATTTATTCCCACTGACCACCAAGCCTAAAACATCTACTCCCACTGATGCTGGAGCATTTTCTACTCCCATTGCCAGCGCACTAAAGTCTGAAGGACAGTAAAGTGCCCCTTTGTTTAGAAAGTTTGGAGACCCATAGAATAGAAAATGAGTGTCATTAAGCTACTATACAAGATGATAACTACTATTTTGTGAATCAAGCTTTACATGCCTTAAAATGTTTACCTAATGTTACTATCTTCCTTGAGTTATACATTAATACTTGTTCATTTTGCATTTTTAGGAATCACGAACCAAACATCTGTGGATGAGCTTTCGCCCTGTGAGGAAGAGCATAGCACAGAGGAAAATGGTAACCTGGACTAGTGCACAGTTTCCATGGAGACCAGGTAGGGAAGTGCACAGAGAGATAGGTCAGGTCAGGACAGGCAGGGCACACCAGATAAGGCTGTGAATATATAAATGTGCATGCTGCACCTGTAGGAGCAAGCAGGTTTATGTACTGGGCATCTAAAGAACAGACCTTCCATATGGACACATATGGAACATCATTATGTTCATGATGACCCTAAGGTTAGCCTACAGACCTTTTTTGCACTGTAACCAGATTCATACGCTGACCTCTCCTGGGCCCCAGATGATCTTTTTTAAAGACTAAACACCCATCAAACCCCAATTTTAACACCATCTTACCTGCCAAAGCATTTTTCATTTTGTTTACTCAGTCTTGTTACCCTGACACCCCTGTTGGGCAGCATGGCCAGATCATGGCCTTTTACTGACCTCCATGTAAAGTACAGTGCACTGATTAGGTCATCATTGTGCTCTCTTCACCTGTTAGGAAGCTTGCATTGATAGGTGGACAGCACTGTGCAATACAATAGAGCCTGATTGACTGACCTAAGTCCCCTCTGCCAGTGTGAGTGCTCATGTGAAGGGGATTACAGGAGACTGCTATCAATTGGGGTGCTTTTATCCGATGTACGTAAAATCCATTTAATGAACTCTTTAAAGAGACCCTGTCACCACCTGGTACTCAGTAAACTAAAGGCAGGAAAGAAATTTGTATCAGGAGTACTCACAAAAACCTTGCTTACTGCAGCAACGTGTGCCCTTTCAGCAGAGGAATCATGTTGATTGCAGAATTGCCATCAACATGTTTGCTGATCGGAGTCACTCCTAATACAATTTCCTTACTTCATTTGGTTTAATGAGTACTAGGTGGGGACAGGGTCTCTTTCATAAATGTATAACTGTATTAAATGTTGGCTTTCATTATCAATTCTGTACAACATAGTAGAAATCTAAAATAAACCCATCACAAATTGTTTGCTAAAGGAGATAATGTAGATGTTGTATATATAGCTAACAGTAGATGTATATTTTTTTTCCTTTTACACAGTTTAATTATATCATTTAAGTGTAATATTGGTTGGGTATCATTTTAAAGCTGAATTTTAGGATTTTCTTGCATAGTTACATTGATCCAGCTTAAACCAATGTAAGGATGCATGCATATGCCATACCTGTGGCACCACTGGAGAAGTGGAAAATCACTGTAGTAGTCACCTCTTCCAGATCCCATGCCAAGCAACTGCCCTGTTACATAGTGAACACAGGATGTTGCCCATTTGGCATGGATGCCATTCATGCATTTTGAATGCAAAGCATTCCCATTCGACATAGGACATGTAAGGCAGTGGCTACTACAGTGATTCTCCAGCGGTTCCTTGGTTATGGCATATGCATACTTACAATGGTCCAAGCAGGACCAATGTAAGTATGCAAAAAAATCCATAGCTGGATTTCAGTTTTAAAGAACATCAGAAATCACCCTGACAGAGTGTCAATACTGCAGACCATTCAAACTCTATTGCACGGTACAGTGCTGCCAGTCTGACTTATTAAAAAGTGACTGCAGAAGGGGCAAGTGTTTACCAGGGCTTATTCCAGAAAAGACAGGACATTACCACCCTGTTGATATTCTTTCATAGTTTACTGAACAACTGGAAGAGGGATAAAAGGCTTAGGGAAATGGAGTTTGTGAGAATGAAGTGACTGTCTTTTCATAAACCATGGAACAGAACTGTTTCATTTCTTATAAAAGAACAGGTTGTACAATAGCTATATGTCATTATCATATCAAAATTTCCCAGACATTGTTCATTGATGTACCACCATCCCAGCCCCTGTCAGCTTTTAGGAAGATATTATCAGTTACTAGAGTGCCACTGGAACTATTCAAGTGAACATAGACAATGTAAACTGAGCACACTTAGATAATTTCAACAGCAGTTGCTATGTTGAGTGACAACCTAGTGACATTTGGCGTTGTCTCCACCATAATTGTTACTATCTCAATCCCTTAGTTTGGGATTCTGGCCTGGTTTTACCATTATTTTTATCCAAAGATGGCTAATGATATGCTCTATGGAGGAGCCAGCATCCATTGCAATGTTCTAATATGGCACCAAGCATCAATAGAAGCAGATAATCTTGATTTAATCAATGTTCATGCTAAAACTTACCATCTGTAGCTGCTATAAGGTTGAGCATATTCCCTCATACACTTTATTGCCCTAAGTATTGGGACGCCTGCCTTTACATGCACATGAACTTTACTAGCATCCCAGTCTTAGTCTGTAGGGTTCAATATTGAGTTGGCCACCCTTTGCAGCTATAACAGCTTAATTTCTTCTGGGAAGGCTGTCCACAAGGTTTAGGAGTGTCTATGGGAATGTTTGTTCATTCTTCCAGAAGCGCATTCATGAGGTTAGGCACTAATGTCAGACGAGAAGGCCTGACTCGCAGTATCCACTGTAATTCATCCCAAAGGTATTCAGTCGGGTTGAGGTCAGGACTCTGTGCAGGCCAGTAAAGTTCCTCCACCCCAAATTCGCTCATCAATGTCTTTATGAACCCTGCTTTGTGCACTGGTATGCAGTCATGTTGAAACAGGAGGGGGCCATCCCTGAACTGTTCCTACAAAGTTGGCAGAATTAAATTGTCCAAAATCTCATGGTATGATGATGCCTTAAGAGTCCCCTTCACTGAAACTAAGGGGCCAAGCCCAACTCCTGAAAGACAACCTCACACCATATTCCCCCTTCCACCAAACTTTACACTTGGTACAATGCAATCAGGCAAGTACCGTTCTCCTGGCAACCACCAAACCCAGTCATGTCCATCAAATTGCCAGACAGAGAAGCGTGATTTGTCACTCCAGAGAACACATCTCCACTGCTCTAGAGTCCAGTGGTGGTGTGCTTTACACCACTGCATCTGACGCTTTGCATTGCACTTGTTGATGTGAGGCTTGGATGCAGCTGCTCAGCCATGGAAACCCATTCCATGAAGCTGTCTACGCACTGTTGTGGGACTAATCTGAAGACCACATGAAGTTTGGAGGTCTTTAGCTATTGACTGTGCAGACAGTTGGTGACTTCTGCTCACTGTGTGCTTCAGCATGCTGACCCCACTCTGTCATTTTACGTGGCCTACCACTTTGTGGCTGAGTTGCTGTTGTTCCCAGTTGCTTCCACTTCATTATAATACCATTTACAGTTGACTGTGGAATATTTAGTAGCAAGGAAATTTCACGGATGGCCTTATTGCACAAGTGGCAACCTATCACGGTACCACGCTTGAATTCACTGAGCTCCTGAGAGTGACCCATTCTTTCACAAATGTTTGTAGAAGCAGTCTGCATGCCTAAGTGCTTGATTTTATACACCTGTGGCCATGGAGGTGACTGCAGGGTGTCCCAATACTTTTGGCAATATAGTGTACTATGGCCTTGTGTAAGTCCTGAGCCTCTCAGTGTACAACCTACAGTGAGGAAACATGCCATCTGTGATCCACTCTTTGGGAAGTACTGTTTAATGCTATAATATTCTTACATGCTTCTCTCTCTCTTCATTTAACAGGCGCTACTCCATCTGCATAGAGGTTCAGATCCCCTCCCTGCAGTACAGAAGGACTAGGGCACAGGGAATAAAGAGATTGGATCTAAAGTCGCAGGTCACTTGGCACGCACAGAACATCTGGCATTCAGGGAACTTGACTGTCCTCAGAATCCCCTGTCTGTGATACTGTGTGGGCTGACCCACAGATCAATGCACAGCTCTTTGTCTCTGTCCACCTGTCTCTGCTTTGTGGGTCTGTCTCTTTTTTGTGGATCATTAGGATATTAACATATGGAACTGCCTTTGCTCTGTTCAGCCTCTGAAACAGAGCTGTCTTTTTCCTTTTGTGTGTCTCCTAGATTAGGATACTTTTTAAATTTTATTTTTGCTGTATGCAGTCACCAACGTACATTCATCTACATTTTATATTGTTTGCCTCTCACAGCTCTATCAAGGCTCTGCATGATTTAGTTCTTGTTTTTCCAGAGTGATGCAAAAAACACTTCACTTATGCACAGTGACATGAAGAACAGGATATAGAGCTCTGGCTTGTCACCTCACCTCAAGAAGGAAACAAGGAGTGGCTCAAAATACAGTAAATGTCATTTTGTAACTTAGGAAAATGCAATATAACAAAACATTGAACAATGTTTACCAAAAACAGTTACAAATAGACAACTGCATCCAGAGTTCAGAGTCGTGGTCCTCAAATCAGCACTCAGGCCCCACTATGTTTGGGTTACACTACAATGACATCTGGAATCCACCAATAGTAAATGGTTTGAGACTCACTGATTCTGAGCCACCTGGAAGAATAAAGAAATCGGACCTGTTCTGAAGGATCATGGGACCATTCCTTCCACTTCATTACAATGTAGTTATTCTGAAGGGGACCAAAGCATGTTAGTACTTACAGTAGTTAAAATAGACGAATGCAATGTTTTGGATTTTTTTTTACTTGGTATTGCAACATTTCCACCTAGCCCATTGTTGGTAGACTCCTCCTTGTTAAATGCCGCTACACATATGTTCTCTTTAGCTTATTAATATGTGCAGAACCTAATCCTGTTTCTTCCTTTAAGACCCGCCAAGCAGGAGGACATTAGACATCTTCCAAGAAGATTAACAATGCTCTGCAAACTTCTCTTCTCAGAATATGCAGAGCATTGTTCAGTTGACCATTCCCAAAAACAAATTTCCAAGCCAAGCACCTGTAGATCATTGTATGTTCTTCATTCCCTGTGGTGGAATAACAAGAATTCTTCTTGTCTGTTGTCTCCTGTCCGTGTCATGGGTTTTGGTGTTGTGTTTCTGTGCCTTGTTTTGAAGTGTGCTGTACAAAGTCTATCTCAAATGACTGCGTGTTCATCAACCCTTCCAATACCTTAGTATGGAAACTTTCAGTTACTTTACAGAGCCTGGCATGGTTTAAACTATCAATTGCTCGCTGGTTAGAGATTA